ATCCTTAAATAAATTGCCTAGAGATTATGTCCAGTTCATTATGTATAGAGGAAGGGAGAGACATTCCCTACATATAATAATTTGGAATAGCAGAAAGAACAATAGAAACAAGAGTGGCTCTTCCAGCTGGAGAAAGCAAGTTGGCTTTCCAGTCTGTAAGTTTGGAACAAACTTTATCCACAATATATAAGCAGTCAGATGTAGCAACTTTCTTGGCAGTTATGGGAAACCCCAGATACTTACCAAGATGAAGAGACTCGAAGATGTTAAGTTTAGAGCATATGTCTCTTCAAGCATCAATAGAAGTATTAGTAGAAAATAGAATCCTAGATTTGGAAAGATTGACTCTTTGTCCAGATCTAAGGCAAAAGAAACCCAGAAGATCCTCTAAGTATGAAGTATTAGCCGTAGTAGCTTTGCCAATGAAAATCAAATCATCAACAAAGAAAAGGTGATTAATAATAGGGCCACTCTTACCCAATTTCAAACCCTTCCAGCCATTGGCATTAATATCTCCTTGAATCTTCAAAGAAAGATATTCAATACATAGAATAAAAAGATAAGGAGGTAAAGAGTCCCCTTGGCGAAGGCCCTTAGAAGGTTGAAAATACTCAATGGTTCCACCGTTAATAATAACAACAAATTTGGAAAGAGATATGCAAGACACGATAATAGAGATCATAATAGGAGGGAAATTAAAGAATAGAAGAGCTTCCTTAATAAATCCCCATTCAAACCGATCATAAGTCTTCTCCAAGTCAAGTTTAATAATCATGTCACCCTTCTCCCTTTCCTCTTGGAAAAAGAATAGACTAACTCTCTAAGAATGAGGACATTGTCTATTCCATTCATTCTAGGAATGAAACTAGCTTGAAACGGAGAGATGAGTTCCCCAATAATATTCTTCAATCGGAAGACAAGAAGTTTTGTCACAGCTTTGTAGATCACCTTACAAAGTCCAATAGGTCTGAATTGAGTAAATTTTTCGGGGTTTTGGACTTTAAGAGTAAGGGCAATCAAGCTATGACTCCAGCCCTCAAGAATGATACTAGAAGAAAAGACATTTCTGACTTCAGAACACACCTTTGGGCTAAGTAAATCCCAATAATTTTGAAAGAGAGCTACGTGCAATCCATCCTGCCCGAATAATGTTCTGGCTTGATTTTTTTTTTTTTTCAGTCATTTGGTGTGTTTGGATCGATATTCTTCTGTTGATGAGGCCTTTAATGATGGCATGAAAGAGAAGAAAGTGCAGATATAGAAACAAATTTTTTTTATTTTTTTATTTAAAGATGTAAGTTTTATTAATTTTTAAATAAAATGCTAAATTTTCAAAATTTTCTAATTTAAGAATTTTATCTTTACATTTTTTATTTAAAAATTAATTAGATGGTTAAAGAAAATCATATTTCACATCAATATCATTATCTAATTAATTTTTAAATAAAAAAATATGAGGTTAATATTTTTAATAAATTAAATTGAAAGTTTAGCATTTATTTTGAAAAATAATAAAATTTACATCTTTAAATAAAAAAAATAAAATTTATATATTTATCTAAACCTTTTCTCTAGTAGGAAATGGTTAGAAACTTTATTATCTAGAGGGGTTAAAGCCAATTGCAGTTCTCGTATTTTGTGAAAATGTTCATTACCATCCCTCTACTAAGGAAATGTTCAATACCATCTCTCTACTTTTCTTACACCATAATTGTCATCCCTCCACTACTTTTTTTTGTTAGATGTCATCCTTAATTGGATGCCATCCATTTTCCTGTTAACTTTGACGGTTAATTGCCTAATGGTCAAACATTTAATTTTTGTTAATTAATTTTTTATCCATTAATAGAATTTGTTAACGTTCTATTAAAATAAAAAAAATATTTATAAAACCAATTATCAAAAATTAAAAATGTAATAATTTAATTCCAAAAGTTTAAAAAATAAAAAAATTAATAACTTAAAAATAATTAGTAAATAACTTTATCACATGTATGAGAACAATGTTAGATATTTACAATTAGATCAAGTGATTAATTCAATCTAACTAAAGAAATCTAACTAAGATTAAAAAAAATTTCTTTGTTATATTTTTCTGGTCTCTTAAATTTTCTATCATAATTCAATTAAGAAAATTTTCTTAATTTTAGTTAAAATTCTTTCTCCAAATTAAGCTAATCGCTCGATTTGATTATAAATATCTAATATTGTGTTAACATATGTGAAAAAGTCATCTATTAATTCTTTTTAGTTTACTAATTTTTATAATTTTTGAACTTTTAGAATTAAATTGTTACATTTTTAATTTTTAAGGATTAATCTTGTAATTATTTTATTCCAATTTTAACAGAGAATTAATAGATTCCATTAATTTAGGTGCTAAAGCCAGAAAGAATAATACAGAACTAAAAAGAATAAAGATACTGGTCCCATTAGTCTCACAAGGTGGATAAAAAATTAATAAACAAAGGGTTATTCTAATTTGTGTCTTAGAGGTTATTCTAATTTGTATTTTTAAGGTACCGGTTAAAAGTTTAAAAAAAATAAAAAGTAATATTTAATTTATCAACTATCTAATTAAATTTATTTACATGACAATGACACTAAAATTAATGTTTATTTTTAAATTTTCTTATACAAATTTATTATAAAAAGGTATCATTAATATATGCTCTTAGAAAAATTCATAAACAAAAGTTGAATATTTGATCGTTAGGCAATTAAC